TATTTATGTGCCCGTGTGTGTGTGTGTGTGTGTGTGTGTGTGTGTGTGTGTGTGTGTGTGTGTATATATACATATATATATATATATATATATAGTTCTAGTTCAGTGTCACATTACACAAGAACAGCGATAGAGGTTTTTCTCGTAAGCAAGAAAATCCCTCTGGCTACATTTCAACCAGCAATGTGAATATTAAGCAATGCTAATGCTTACCTTACAAACGTGAGGTCAAATCAGTATTTTGGACTTCACGTGCCTTTATCTTGTTCGTTATTCTAATTCATCCCCTGTCTTCCCTTCATTAGTTTCGCACAGAGCATCTCTCAAAGGCCATTTTTATAGAGCATCTGCTGCAGCTTATTTCTCCTTCTCTTTCTCTCCACCAGTAAAACCTGACACCATTTCAGCAATGGCAATGTTGTGTTTTGGATCGATGTCTTCTGCTGCATCACATGACCATCCCCAGACCATTCACAAAGAGAGTATCGCACCTGCTCTCTGCTTGAGGCAGGAGGGAGGAGGGAGGAGGAGCGCTCTGTGCCATCACATTTGTGCTCTTTTACAGTCCACCGAGCTTTGGCTCATGACCTTACATTTTTTGTCTGATCACATCATTATGTATACTTGCACAATTAAGAGTTGCATCAAAAATGTTGAGATTATGATGTCGCATTACTCTGTATTACTTTTAAATATGCCTACTGTACTTGTCAGTTGCTTGTACTTGAGAGCAATCTGTTTTTTTTTGTTATTATGGTTAATTGTCAAAGGGCATTTCTAGTAGACAATCCAAACATATGATCATGAATAATCATCTTTATTGTGTACAGTACTGAAAAATATATGCCTTCCTGCTTATAAAATACATTCTGTCATTATAACCTCTTGTGCTTGAATGGCGAGGATAAGAAATCCTCTCGGATATGTTATCACTTTGCTGTGAGACAAAACAAGATGTGGGGATGGGGTGGGGGGCGGGTCACCAGCTGCCTGAGGTAGATAACTGCTTGTTCATGTGCATATGTATGTATTTTTTTATTTTTATTTTTTTTAGAGAGAGAGAGAGGGAGAGAGAGAGATGAACTTGGCTAAAGGGAAGGAGACAGACACTACTTCGACCAGCCATCAGGTAATTGTTCGTATTTTGAACTGTCAAGGTAAAAAAAAATGTATCTCTCTTTATTGCTTGACCTGTCTCTTGTCTACTAAAGGGTTAGAATTTTTCCCTTGCTGATAACAATTAGTAAACCTGGCATCTCGATCAACTTTGAAGTGAGACTTCAACACAAGATCAGAAGAAGTGATGACAAGTCATGGATGACATAGATAAATCGCATTTCCCATCTCAGATCTTTTTTGCTGTTTTCTTTTTACACATATCTGTTAATTATTTATGCCATAGCCGGTAAACAATATTTTATGCTGGTGGATCCAATGAAATATTGTCGGTGTATGTACTGTACTGCAATAACAATGAAGCTCATTGTCATATTGTTCTGAACCACTGGCATTTCGACTTATACCCAAAGAAGCCTTACAGTGATAAATATGACATGCACATCGACACACACAAATGTCGTCACACAGGACGAGTGAGTCGATTCTGACCTGTACAAAGTAGCAGTATGCTGTATCTCACCTGGGGAAGTCTTCATCCTGCCACTCGTCTTTCACTTCCATGCTCTCCATTCTGAGTGTCGCTTCTGTAGTGCCCATCCCTCACCAAGGTAAGCAGGGGCCTAAAAATAAAATCAGACATATGTTTATAAAAACAACAATTTATTTAAAAAAAATAAAAATAAAAAAAAAGGAGGAAACTGTGAGGAACTACTCAGCCAGCTCCATTGAAGATATGTGAAATTTAAATAGAAAAGGAAACCGTTTGCTTTTTGTGGCTGGATTACATTCAATCAATTTATACTTTATGGTGACACTTGGGGGTTGAAAGCATTGTTCTCTACCCCTGCTTACTGGAGCACACGTGAGAAGTATGTGATGAAGCCCATTTTGTGGGTCAAGTCAGATACGGATTTCCTCGTCCCAGGTAAAAATCAAGAGGCCATTGTTTGAGAATGACATGCACGCTTATTTCTTCCAGGCTGCCTTCTTATCACATTCTTCAGCTTGTTGCAATGGTTTATCTTTTGCACATCTACAGGTTGAGTACAGTCAGTGAAACAGTTTGACGCATTTTCTCAGTTTAACTAATGATGGATGCAGAATAATGTGCACTGTATAAGAGAAATCATTTGTGTCCTGCACAGTGGATACTTGGATTTGAAATTCTTGATTGTGTCCCCGTCCTTGCAAAAGTTTGTCTTGTGTCTTCGGTGTATAAGAATTGGGCAGTGTGCATGGATCCCACTGAGGCAGCATAGTGGATGAAAGATTCGCATGTCTGTCTCACAGTGGAACAGGTTCAAATCTCAGTCTTTCTGTGTGGAGTATGTTCTTTCGTGCCTGTGTGGATTTTCTCTTTGCACTCCAGCTTCTTCCAACGTTAAACAACATGCATGACAGGGTTATTTAAGACTCTAAATTGCGCAAGTGTGAATGTGAGTCTCAATAGTTGTTCAAGCTCCGATTAATTGCAGATGAGTTCAGGATGTAGCCTGTGTCTCGCACAAAGTCAGCTTGGATAGGCTACAGCTCACCTGTATTAATATTATTACTGTTGCTGAATTTGAGTGAATAGAGTTTCATTGCGGAAAAACATAACCAAAATATTAGAATCATCTCTCATTGCTGCAAAATAAAACCACAACAATAAACATATTAAGATAAAAAGCTCCTCAAAACCATTTGAGGTTAGAATCTTAGCAAAGACACATCATGTACAGTCAAGGTTAACAAACAGGACAACACCCAAAGGAATGACATGCATAGAAATTCAACCGAAATGCTATGTGGAAAAAAATGGGCATTTTACTCTGCTGATTTCCACCCAAGGCAGGGGCGACACTGTATGCACAAGAAGGCTTACATTGCTGAAAAGGAAAGCCAATGCACCAAAGTACTGGGCTCTTTTTGTCAAACGTGACAATATGGATCTTAATCTCCAATCTGGGTCTCACTGCATTTCTAGGGTGACCCAGAGCAGTTAGGTATCACATCAGGTCAGCTCAGCATCTGGCATGATGTCAACGACATACTCACATGAGATCGTGGCGATCTCCTTCAAATTCTTTCGATCGGCTGTCTGTCCGTATGTATGTATATGTCCTTCCTTCTCTTCAATCACAGGAGCAAAAATGTGAGCTGATCCTCCAAACTGACACAAATGCATGTGTCCCCTTTTGCCCTACTTCACATGCACATATACTCATGCACAGACACACAGACAGTGTCCTCAATGTCAGTCGCTAGCCAGCAGCAGGTGCTTGAAGACAGGGGGCACCTCTGTACTCTGCTCTGTGAACCCCCACCCTCTTCGTTTCCTTTCCTTCGGGTCTGTCTACCTTTGTTGGGATGAGACTGGCTGTGAAGAGCGTGTCCACACGCTGCCTCTTAGTAGCCCTGATGTCCAAATCGAATTTCTTCAGTCAGAGTGTATCGGCTGCAGCATCATGATCTCGTCACTTCTCTCTATACTGGCTTCGAATATCCACTTTTTCCTGACCCTACTTTTAGTGACACGATTCTTCAATGGGAGAAGCTTTTTTTTAATCCTGAAGCAGCTTGAAGCACTGATCTCTGTAATAATCGTGCTGCTGTTGTCAGTGGTTCTCGATGTCGCTAGTGTTCCTTGGCAACAGCATCCCTTTCTCCCCTCCCACCCATGTCTCTTTCATACCCACTGCCCCAACTCTCAAATCCACTCTGCACACATTCATTATTCAAGATGCTGACTTCCAGTGTACTCAGCCAATCAGATCAGCTTTGGACCAAATGCAGCTGACTGAGAAGTCTGTCCAACCATCCATCCACCCATCCATCCATCCATTCATTTTCTGTACCGTTTATTCCCATTAGTGTCATTGGTGAGCTGGAGCCTTTCCAAACTGACTTAGTATGAAAGAGGCGGAAATACCCCGAACTGGTTGCCAGCCAATTGCAAGGCAATTTTTAATTATAACATGGGGGTGGGTAAAGGAAACCTTTTTTAGGAAATTAAATTTCAAACAAGTGGATTCTCTTGCTGTTTTGTCTACTTAAAACTAATTTTAATAAATTATTTGGTTTCAGATTGCAGCTGATATTGGTTCAAAGCAATTTTTCAAAATGGCCACCAAAATCCTTCAAAATTACAAATTTCCCACACAAATCCTTAAAAATATGTCAAAATATTGGTTGTAATATACCTAACTATAAGTTTTCTTGGTCAGTGATGAATTAGATATATCAGATTATTGCTTGTGGTAATGTGTGATTGTCTTATTCTAGCCATAGTGGTCGTGAGTAACTCTGAAAGTACGCAACTGGAATTAAGCACTGCTTTACAATATCAGTTGCTACATATCTAATTAGGTATTTTAAGCATTGTTTCCAATAATGCATCTTGTTTGCAGATTAGGAAATCATAGATTTTGTTGTTGTTGTTGTTAGGTGTGTGCAAAGCAGTAATTCACTAAGTATGTCATGGTCATTATTTGCATTTATTTTAGGCTCAATTTGTGTATTTCCTGTGTATTTTCGTTTAAAAATATATACAGGTATGAATAATTTGCAAGTACAGTAGCCGTTTTGGTGTTACGTGTCGCTGCTGTGAGAGGTGGTGAACTATCTTGCGTTCTGCTTTTCAGTGACTCTCTGATGACTGGCACCATCGTACTGTACCGGAGAAGCCAAGATGGCTGCAAGCAATTATTTTGGCTTCACGCATGCCACCGGTCCCCAGTACAGGTAATTCAAATACAGTCGCGTGAACCTAACATTTGAGTCTTTGTAACGGGTCGTTGTCGTTGCAGGAGTTGTTTGTTGAGGTTTTCACTAACGGCCCTCTGCTGACACAAGATACGTTCAGCCGCTAAAATAAGCTGCGTTAGCTAGCCGAGTTCATGCTGCCTGACTGCAATCAATCCGTCGCATGCTGACTTGATTAAATGTCACGTTGAAAAAGTGTGCGTGAAGTACAGAGTGTCAAAGCTGTTACAGTCTGCAGTTGACGGAAAAGAAGTTGGCTCGTGGTTAAATGTACTGGGTGTGAGCTGACTTCACCTGAGGGTCAACCACTTGTCTGTTTTGGAATAATATCGAACACGATAACACTAGGGCAGCAGTGGATTTAAGCTATTTGTGGTTGACTACGTACGTGCTGATGAAAAGTAATGAACATGAGGTCAGTGCAGCTCAGTCGGTCATGTAATGTCCCAACAATGGATGATGAGCTTTGCACGATTCGTCCTGAGCTCTTTCCTGATTACTCTGCCTGTTCTAGCTTCAATGGTTTAAAATAAGTTACGTTATTATTAAAGCTAAGAAAACTTAAATAACAAGGAAGACGAGTTGTTGAAATGTGTTAAGATTATGGTTTTCACGGTTCTAGGAGTGAGCATTCAAACCCACAAACCTAATGATGACAAGCACTCAGAAAGTTGATGGATGGATGAATGGCAGCAAAAGTATTACAAAGTTTTCAGTTTGCTCCTTCTCAGCGTTCTGACCAATCTGTTTCTTACAGCACCCAGCCTCCCCCGGCTTACTCGCATCCCTCGACAGCCACCTATAGCATCCAGCAGGCTCCCACTGTGCCTCATGCCGTGACTGCCTCTTATTCTCCGGCCACAGTTCAGGCAGCCCAGCCTGTCGTTAGTGCTCCTTACGCCGGCTATCAGAGCCACCAGCCCCCTCAGGACTACACCTATAGGCCGGCGGACCCCCCAGCAGCCCCACATCCAACAACCACACCACAGACATATCAGGTGTACTCAGACACGGTGAGCTCATGTTTCAGTGCTGTTTCCTGCATTGCTTTGTGGCTTTTTTTTTCATTAAATACAAGTAAAAATCTAATACTCTGTCATTTCATTATCATCTTAGTCGCAAAATTCTCAAAATAACATTTTGAGTTAGTATCAAGTCATTTGAAGTGCTTAATTTGTAGGTAATCATGAAGCCTCTAGCTGTTTGAAGTCACTTTGTTCTCAAACAGATTTGACATAATTTTGAGGTTTCAAGAATAACATTTTAAAAAAATCATGAAAAGGCAACAATTATGGTACAACACAGCCAAATAACAGTATGCAGCATGCATTTCTCGTGTGTGTCTGGGGGGAGAAAATAAAAACGGCAAACCAATCACACCAGATCTGGACATGTCACCAAAAATTAAAAGAGGAAAGCAAAAAGGAAAATGATGTCATGTCACAGGCCTTGCACATAATGAACATTTGTGAAGCATGAAATCAGATATAAAATCTGTATTTGTTTGAGTATGATGTTGAAATTTGAACAAATATAAATTATTTTGCAACATGAAACTTATTTAGTTTCATTTGCATGTTACTCAGATGTCAATATTTCAAGAGATGTCTTTTTTTATGGGGGGGCAGTGCACTCTGTATTTGGATTTGTCAATGTAAAACCTAAAGTCATTTTTTTCAATGTGTTGCACTAATGTGTTATTTATAGCCGGACAACTACAACTATGCCCGGCCTGCTGTTGTGACGACGTATGACAATAAACAGTACTACCAGACAAGTATCGTTTCAGCCCAGAGGAGTACTACTGACAATTACTACCAGACCGGTGAGACATTTCTTCACACTAAGAAGCTAATTTAGCTCTCATATTTAAAATGTTCATAATGACACAGCAACCCCTCAATTATTGACCTTTGAATTTGAGCTCTCCTTAAAAATACAGCAAATTTCCCAAATTACCAGTGAGTGTTGATTGTATCCCTTGTGATGAAGGTGGTTGACTTACTTTAATTTAATTTAGTTTGACAGCACAGTGGACAATAATTCTACTATTACAGAGACGATTATGATCAAATTTGACCGATACTATCAGAGAGCTATGTGTCGGACTGCATTGCATCTTACTGCAATGTTTCTAATATTTTTCCCCTCCCGTTCTTGCAAAGGTGACTGTCAGTTTACATCACTCAACTTGCATTTTTAGGTCACCTGATACACGGTGTTCATGTTGCCAATTAAATGCTCACCCTGTCAAAAACTTTGACGCCCCTCCCGTTCTTGCAAAGGTGACTGTGAGTTTACATCACTCAACTGCCAATTAAATGCTCACCCTGTCAAAAACTTTGACAGGAAGTCCTGGAAGATCCGTCGGGCTTATCTGATGTCCCATCGCCCTTCTCACTGCCCCTTTTGCTCTTTCAGTCGGAGTGAAGAGTGCTTACACTCCAGCCCCCACCACTGTGTACAGCCACCTGCCTCCTCCTCAGAGGCAGGTAACAACGCTGAAGCCACTGGCACCGAGCAGCTTGGTGTCCGCCACCTACAACATCTACCCGGTGTCCAGCAGCGCACAGCAACCGCAAACATCTGTTTCATCCTACACCCTTGGCTCCACCTTCAGCTCTACTGCATCAGTCCCCTCCTTCTCAGGTAATAGTCAACACTGATTGGACAAGGTTAAAAGGTTTTCAAATCCGCGTCCGATTCATTCTTTACATTTGAATTGGTAATCAAAAATGAAAAGATGAAATGCTAATTGATTATGTTATTTGTTTTTTTTTTAATTACCATGAAAATGACAACGATTACAGATTTTTCATTTTCAAGTTATTTGTATGCATTTTAGGCATCTCTAACACAGTCTCCACAAAATTCACTCAATAACACACCTTGAAAAATTACACACATTTTAACTCTGACACCAGTTTCACCAATCGCCATGAAATTTGAGTGGAGATGTCTATCATACCTGGATGCAGGAGTAAGACTCAGGGACTCTGGCCCAAAATGTAACCAGAAGTAGGAGTTTTTTTTTTTTTTTCTTTCCTTACGCTTTTTAATGTTGGCTGAGCATAGCATCAAATTTGAATGATCATAAAAAGGGTTTTAAACGGATGGCCAAGTGCCCTAACTTCTACCAAAGTTATTATTCTGTTAAGTTACATGTATTTTTAATCAAGTATCGCACTCAGGTACAGTACTTTATATATGACTGTAAATTCCTCACAATCAACATAATCCCATTGAATCAATTTATTGAATTATGCCCATTCCTGGTTTATACAACTTTTTAGATTTCATTTTAAACACGTAAATGGTCAATATAAGAAAACTATCAAACTCAACGTTACTAACACACAGTTACAGTAGCGGTGTGAGTGACTCAATTCCGATCTAATGAGCTTTAATACAATAGCTGTATCAAAAATTGCTTTTACATTTTGTGTGTGGAGATGAATAATGAGGTTATTTCATAACTCACATTAGAGGTGAATGAGAGATGAGATTGGCAGTTCGCTGAAGTTTTTTTTTTTGTTGTTGTTGTTCGACTTTCTCCCGGCTCGGTTTGAGCTTCTGGTGAAGTAAAAGGTCATCTAGTGGCTGTTAAAATTCATTCTTGCGCTTCTTGCTTCCCCTCAGGCCTCAGCTACCCAAACTATGATTCAGCCGGCTACAGCTGCACACCCGCCACCTCCTATTACCAGTCGGCCCAGCAGACTTTGTCCCAGCCTCAGCAGCAGCAGCACCAGCAGCAGCTCCCCCCATCCCATCAGCCTCAAAAACCGCAAGCCCCCAAGCAACTGACAAGCGCTTCCTGGAGCGATCCCGGCAGCTACATGGTGACGAGCTCGGTGGCGAGCACCTACAAAAAGCCACCATTCCATCCGAACAAATTGCAGAAGCCCAGAGGGCCTATCAAGCAGCCCCAGCTTCATTACTGTGACATTTGCAAAATAAGCTGCGCAGGTCCTCAGGTGAGATGCTCAAATGTCACGTGTTTGTTTAAGCAGGTTTCATTAGAGTGTATTTTTATTCTTATACAGCGTTCAGCGACTTTATCACTGTACATATCAACACATTTTTCTGTGGAATGTGTCTACTGGTCTCTCATGGAAATCCATACTATATCAAGGGATTCCATATTGCTCTTGTATGTGGGAAAGGAGAGCCACAATCTTCTGCACTTTTGAGCAGTTTTAACCCAGTGGAAACAGTAAAACACAATGAACACATTTATGCTCGAGCTGCTGTTGGCCATCGCTCATACTCACACACAGACTCGCTATAACTTGAGCCAAATGGTCAACCTTCTAGTTCCTTGACATCTCATGCGTAGGGCCTGCCTCTTAGACACATAGCTAACACACAAAGTACAATACATGTAGAACTAGGGTCTTTACATTTAAAGACAGCAATGTTTTTAAAAAAAATATTATTCATAATTTATTTTTAATGTTCAAATACCGGTAAGTTGAAATATGTGTAAAAAGTTTCCAGTACTTTAGTTAGTTTAAATGTGTGGGAGGGATAAGACTATTTCAAATGTTATATGGTCTCTATGTCACCTATTGTGGATAGGTCTGGAATGCATCCTCCACAATGATTGGTGATTCACTGGATTTTTTTTTTTTTATATTAATTGATGGTCTTGTGCTTTTTTTGACCACTTGATCTTATTGAATCAGACGTACCGGGAGCACCTCGAGGGTCAGAAACATAAGAAAAAAGAAGCAGCTCTGAAGACTGGTAGTCAGATGGGGGCCTGCAATGGGCCCAAAGGGGTCCAGACTCACTTACGATGCGAATTGTGTGACGTGTCCTGTACTGGAGTTGATGCCTACGCTGCACACATCCGTGGCTCCAAACACCAAAAGGTTAGTGCAGCTGTGCAGTTCTTTGTTTGAATATTTGTTGTTCTTTTTGATTAACAGAACGTCTGTCAACATGCTTCACTATTATGTTTTATTCACGGGATCTTCCATCTGTGCTACGACAGTATCTGCTGTATCAGCCTACACTGATAGGAGGAAGGAATAAATATCAGCTAATTCTATCTTTTTATCTGTGTCTTTCTAAGGTGGTAAAACTGCACACCAAGCTGGGCAAGCCTATCCCCTCCACTGAGCCCGTGTTGGTGAACTCTGCACCAGTCGTCACAACATCAACGGCTACCAAAAACCTGGCCTCCACCACCGACGTGGCTTCATTCGGGACCACTTCAACTGTTACTGCTGCACCCAAACCAGCTGTAAACACTGCGGCTAAAACAGTAGCAACAGTCAAGAAACTAGCTCCGTCCAAAACATCTTTCACTTGTAAGTTTTGAAGCCACTCTTTCCAATGTTTTGTACACAATAACTTTATTTTGAACACACACTTCTTTTCCTGTTAAAATATTTTAAGCTTTTTTGTTTTTGGGGCTGTAATTAGACTCCTCACCTGTGTGGGTTGCCATTCACAATTTCATAGATTTATTTTCTAAAACAACCAAATTTTTGCTGATTTTTCTTCTCAGGCCAAAGCAATACAGGTATTAGTTTGATCTCAGCTTGCAGCATTATGATACCATACACCTATGTTGAAGGTAGTTGAGAAGTTTTACGTAGACAAAAGTAATGCTTTGCGACCAAATTGTCCATCTATAATCTTCGTATATAAAACCTTTGATGGGTCAATTACTCGTGGATTGCCACTATCCCCTAACCCCTCCAAATAGCTGGGGGAACACCGCATTCATGATATTAATCATCGTGTTGTGTTGCAGGTCAATTTGACTTGACTTGGCTTAAAGTCATTTTCCATTATGAAAAGCTGTGCATATCTTAATTAGTGTAATCTACACATACACCGCAACTTGTTCATTTAATATGCCTCAGGTATATTGACCCAAGTGCCTTATTTCTGTTCCACAGAACCAACATAACAGACAGGTTAAGCCACTGCACATACTAATATTTTGCGCTTGAATGGTCACTTTGACATACATATCATGAGGGTTATTTTAAGCTTCATTTGTTATGCTCTGACCTCTTTTACAGCCAGTAAGCCAGCCAGCACTCCTGCAGCCGTGACAGCAGCGCCCCCTGTGGCAGTAGCAGTGAGAGTAGAGAAAACCATGCCACAAGTGCCAGAGGAAGATTGTAACCAGGTCGTCGGCCAAGGGGACATCCAGCCAGTTGGCCATGACTATGTGGAGAAGGTGAGCCAGGAAAACCGACTTAATCTTTGCTTGCAAAAGGTTGCCATTTATTTTGTGCCGCAAATGACCAGCATTATGTTTTTCAGGTGCGTAATGCTGATGGCAAAGTCATTCGATTCCACTGTAAATTATGTGAATGCAGCTTCAATGACCCAAATGCAAAAGACATGCACCTGAAGGGAAGAAGACACAGACTGCAGTACAAGGTAGATAAGTGACAGCGGCATTTTCCAATAAATGCCTTGCATGTCTTCTATCGTCGTATTGTTTTGTTTTGTTTTTTTCTGCAGAGGAAAGTGAACCCGGAGCTCCCAGTTGAGATCAAACCTAGTAACCGAGCCAGAAAGCTGCAGGAGAGCAAATTGAAGAAGCACAGGACGATGCTGAAGAGACAGCAAGATGATGAGGAGCTCTGGCACGTAGAGAGGAGGTCTGGACGGTTTGAAAATATTTGATTTTTAAATGCGGATGTCCCTGATGGACTTACTGTAAGGTAACCATCTGCCATAAGATGCTAAGCATCTTATAAGAGATCTGTGATTAGGACATTGCGATAGTTATCAGTGTAAATGAAAGTCTTCCTCCATTCACATTTCTCACCACTTGTGCATGCAGGCGATATGAGGACGACATGTACTGGAGAAGAATGGAGGATGAGCAATTGTACTGGGAGGAGCAGAGACGCAGAATGGCTCCCCCACCTCTCATGAGCCGCCGGGGTATGCCTGTGCCCCCTCTGCTGGTGAGTTTTGCTCATGCAGGTGTTTCTCTCATTTCCCCAGATCTGCCCTGTAACTTTTTCTCCCTTGTGTTGACTTAATGATAAGTGTGCTTTCATGCTTTTGTGTCAGTCGTGTGTGCGGCGGCCAGACTCACCCGACGACCGCCTTGTGATGGCCAAACACGCCACCATTTACCCTGGGGAGGAAGAGCTGCAGGCTGTTCAGAGGATCGTCTCCCACTCTGAGCGAGCCCTGAAGATGGTATCAGACAATCTATTTGAGAAGAACATCGCTCCTGCCGCTACTGAGAGTGAGGACCCAAAAAGGTACGAATTTAGACACAGTTTCAGGTGATCTAACGCACACATCAATGGCATTGAAGCGTAAACTCTCTCAGAGTTCTGTTCCTACATAAATTGAATTGCCCCCAAATCAACCTAAACTGAGGGCCGTGGGTAAATTGGATATTGCTTTTAAATGCATTGAGATGAATTACAGTTACGAGACCACTAAGGCAACGTTTAAGTTAACATATAATGCGAGTTACTCGCTTTTGCGACCTCTGACTGAGGTCAACTATGCCAAAAGGCAACAAAACAACACGACGTCAACAAAACAAAAGTCTGCAAAATAGTACAAATCCAAATGGCATCCAATCTATCGAGTTTTTGCCTTTGTCCTTCTTGATAGCACTGCAAACGCAGTCCGCCTGCTCAGAGGTGTGATGCGGGTGGGCATCCTAGCCAAAGGTCTGCTACTTCGGGGTGACACTAATGTTCATCTAATCCTGCTGACTTCTAAAAAACCCACCATCTCCTTACTGAAGAACATTGCTAAGCAGTTGCCCAAGGAACTGGCGGTAAGAAAATCTTACTCATGGATCACAATATGCATATATTTTTTGCGAATAAAGGTGTACCTCTGGATGAATCCTGACAAACATGAGAAAACTTTTTTTTTTTTTTTAACCCCCGAATATTTTGCAGGATAATGATGTTACATACTTTAGAATTTCAAAATTAAAGCATTATATTTTACAGGTCTGTACCAGCACTGTGCCAAAGCAGCAGGATCGTCAACTAAGTTTTACATTGCAGGAGACCTGAAAGTTTTGATTCTTATTAACTGGCCTGCTTCTTTCAACACGGGTTTCTCTCCTATGCCAGACTAGTGTTTATCCTGCTTATGAAAGACTGCATTTAGGTTTTCATTCACTGCCATTGACGGTGATAGAAGTAAAACATCCATTTAAACTGTGTGGCAGTGAATGAGTTAACAACTGAAGTAAATAATATACCTCCAGCTCTACAAATGGAGCCACCTCTGGGCTTAAGAGAGAAACCCAATTTCTGTCTGAATGTCCGTTAGAAGACAGAACGTCGGAAGGCAACGACATGTTGAAATAAGCTTGCCCCTCCTGCTGTAAACGTAACGCTTAATCCACTGATCTTTAGATGCACTGCCTGGTTATGACACCTGAATCCTACAGAGCGAGATATGGGGTTTCATAAACTGTTCATGTTCCTCCCCTAAATATTATTTTTGTAAATAGATTGTCAAGAGAATTGTATTTTCAGTCGCTTTAAAAAAGAAAGAAAAAATAACAATTGCCCTGTACTTTGCCTTTTAAGGCTCATTGCCCCCACATATGTACCCCATCTCCTCTGTAGTGAGTAATTCCGAGTGTCCTTTTAACCGGCAGACATTTTCTGAAGATCAGTATACGGTGCAGGCTCATCCAGAGAAGGCCAGCGTCGTCATATTATCGAGCAAGGAGCCCATAATGCAGGTGACCATTTCTCTCACCTCGCCGCTCATGAGGGACGACCCTGCTGCTGAGACGGACAAGCAGGCAGGAGGAAAAGCGGCTGAGAAAGGTTAGAGAAGCCAAAGCTTTCAGTAGCAGAGAAGCACATGTTGGCACTGTATCTAATACACTCACAGTATCACCCCAACCCCGCAGTCCCCCCCGCCACTCTCACGGCTCGATAATTTGCACCCAATAGTTGCCCAAATTTTAGCTGTATTGGGTGTGATTTACAATCAAGCTTTGTTTTAACTAGCAAACAGTAAAAAAAGAAAGACTTGTCATACTAATTTGTCCCAATATTTTCATCCCTCCTTTTTCTTACAGCCGCACGAAGCCCCCTCACCCCCAAATCTTTTGTTTATTTTCCATGTCAGAATCAAAAGCCGGGCTCTCCGACCTTTCTGTGCCACTAGGATGTGTGTTGCGTTATCTTAGCACCCAGATACACTCCCGTGATACAAGATCAAGAAACAGAACAGATTGAGGGTCACCTTTCAGATAATAGGAAAAAAAAAAGAGTATCTACTGTTATTTGGACAAAAGTATTGGGCCACACATTGAATTCGGGTCTTTCATTCAATTCCACTACCACCGGTGTGTAAAATGAAGCATTATGCTGTCGTGCTTTGAAAAGGTTAAAGATAATTATTCCAACGAGCTCACCCAATTCCAGCTTGGTGTCATCGAAAATAAGTCAGAATTCAAACAAAGTTGTTTTTTTTTGTTTGTTTGTTTTTTTGCCAACTCTATCAGGTGTTTACAAGTGGTGATGTTTAGAGAATGTGCCAGAAAACCACACATAACCGGGATGCTGTGAAAGTAACAACTGCTGTGTCTGGCCCATCAGCGCACATATTGTGCGGCGGGAGGGTTCTGACATAGCCTAGCATTTTAAAGACACTATGGTGGATGGAATTGTGGCCACAAGACCTGCGGCTGGAGCAGTGGAAACGTGTTCTGTGAAGTTAAGAATCCCACTTGTCTATCAACAGAACTGATAGATGCCAAAATTTGACAAATGCCCAAGACATTGTTACAGGAGTTTTCCGACGACATTGTGCACACAACAAAAATCATGAGGACATGCTTGAAGTGTGATGTTGAAGAAGTTGAGTGCCCTGACTTCACCTCCATCAGAACAAAGATAACTACTCGCACACACACCTTCCAAAATGCGACAAAAGCTATGAAGTGGCGACCAATTCCAGATTAATCGGCCGTTATAAAACCTCCTGTCTGTGGCCAAATACTTCTGTCCATATTGTGAGCAGTATTTCCAGTTTTGTTGCATTATTACATCGCAGCCATGACGCCAGCTTTGAGGTGACGTCTTCATCCCAGTCGTTTTCCTCCTGCTGTCATAACGATGCATTCTCAGCCATGTGGAGTTTGAATGTTTTCCTCACAATTATCTCTATTCATTCAATCACTACATTGGTGCATCAGCGAAGGAAGCCTCCGCCTTTGTTGCCTCTCCCATCCAACATTGTAGTGAATTTCACAATCATGTTGTGGTGCAAACACTCTTGCTCTGCGTTTCTTTGCACGTTTTTCATTGGGGAAAGCATGGTACTGATGTTTTATATGGCTGCTATCATTCATTTTTCTGTTGCTGATCACGGAGAGGTAATTCTTGAGCAGATGACCTCGGCGTGACGCTGCTGTGAAGGCCACACTCATACCACTAAAAATGGGGAAATGACTGCAACAAGCGGCCCATATTCAATGAGCTTTGTGGAGCAGCAACACACATTAGTGTTGTTTAGCCTATTAAATATGGGTCATTTATTGTAATGGAATGATGATGTAGACTTCATGAGGCGTGGCTTTGTTTTCTTTATTTTTAGCTTGTGAGAAACCCCATGAATGAAAAGTTACCACATCACAGCCCTCTGTATTTTTGTAATTGGATTAGAAGTTTTGCAAAAAAGGGCCTTCAATTTGTCGTTGAGGGTTATTTATGAACTCCTTTCCTACTCTCAAAAAAAATCACAACCACTTCGTATTTTGTTGTTGTTGTTACAAATAACTATGCAATCTGCTTTGATTTAATATTACTAATTGTGTTCATCTCTTTGACATGTTCATTCCCAGAGATTTTCTATTTGTCTTGCATAGATCCATGAATGGACAGAAGTAACCTTGCGCAAGAAGCTTCATTTATAAAAAGCAGGGAAGGCACAGGTGGATCGAGCGTCTTTAAGATTGTTACTGTAGTTCCTCTCCAAAGCATGACACCAATTGCTCATGACATAAGCTGTGCCTTCTTTGTTTTAACGTTTTATGGACAGGATATTTGGGAGGCAATACCGTCTACAAACACTTGATGTTCTTAAGACGATGAAGTGCACATTTCAGTTGTTTCATGTTTCAAAGAGTCAGAAACAGTTTGGCTGAGGCTCCCTCAGTAAAGCAGCGGATGAAAAGAGACAGAAAAAAAAAACCTAGAGGGAACCCAAAAGTCATTTAAAAATGTTCTAAGACGTAATGCAGTCTATAGTGCAATATAATGTAGTCCACGCATCTGCTGCTTGATAAACTGTTTCACAATGTGCTGTACTGGGCTGACAACAATTTGAATTGTGCATCAGTCCCATTTAAAGGACCAGTGTGTCGGACAGAAGGGGCTCTATTACGGGAAAAAGGGCGAAATGCGAGAGTTCTTTGTGTTCAATTTTTCTAATCTTGAAATAAATAGTCCTTCAGACCTGAAACACTCAGATGCTGCACAAGACAATTACATTGTCTTATAGTTAGGGCAGCCTTACTCGGGTGGTAGTGGTCATACCCCATAGGTGGATGTGTCCAATCTCATCAAACGACATCCAATATGCACGGGATCATATTGAGAGCATTGCCTAATATTTTGCTCCTCTCCTGGAGCTCAAGAAGGCAACGCAAATATTAGGAATGTCTTTCAAGATGCGATTTTCTGCATTTACACCACTAGATGCCACTATAATCCTCCACGTTGGTCCTTTAAAGTTCTTCCAGTTTTCTCCAAAAATGTTTGAATTTTTTTGTTGTTGTCTATGCATGTACCTTTTTTTTTTATTATTATTAATTTGTTTCATTCACCTCCCCAAAACAAGCAAAAAACACTATAGCTTCTTCCTTGACAATTACATACTTTCTGCCCCTCCTGTTTCTCTCTCACTAACCAAATGGATCAAGCACATTTTAAAGGAGCAGAGGAGAAATGTGGTCATGCGCGATTCACGATTTCATTACACATTTGATTGATCAAGGATACGGCTACTGTTTGCGGTTTATTTCTGGTGCTAATCATTAAGTGTGTTTGTTTTCCCTATCAGATGTTGCTGAGAATGACCCGCCTGATCTTCTAAATAAGAAAACTTGTTTGGAACACTTGGCCGCACTCCGTCATGCCAAATGGTTTCAGGTAAAAGTAATGCATGCATCTTAAGCGCCATTTTTACCAGTTTTCGTCAACGATGATCGAATGATTTCCTTAACGCCCCTTTTTTTTTCATCATGCTAACGAGATGATGACCAACTAAATGTATTTTTACTATTTTTAATTAAAACTGACTAAAAGTATACGAGAACCTTTTTTTAGTTTTCGTCAACAAAAACTAAAGGTATCATGAATAGGAATGACTAAAATGTGACAAAATCTAAGAAGCATTTTTGTCCAAAAGACTAAGACTAAATCTAAAATGGCTGCCAACTTATTTTGACTCAAATTCAATACCTATCAGTGTCGTGGACATTGTAATGAGCTCATCTCCATGAATGCTTTCTCTGAAGGCTCGTGCCAATGGCCTGCAGTCCTGTGTCATCATCATTCGAGTCTTAAGAGATTTATCCCAGCGAGTGCCCATCTGGGGGAAGGTTCCGAGCTGGGTGAGTCCTTGATCTAACTACAATAAAATAAGCTTACTAATTGTTGGTAAGAATTATGACCATGTCGACTTGAATAAATCCAGTGAAAGGCAGTCCTCTAGGTATAAATCCTAGTTTTGTTCAATTTCCGGCAGTTTGCGAGGAGTTCTATACAAGTTTGAAATATTTTCAACATTGTCTGTCTTGTATTGTTCAAAATTGTCAAGCATCAACCCACCAGTCCCTCTGCAGGCAGTGTAGACAAATACTGTACCAAGTTGGAATTTATTACACATTGTATGGTGTCATCGTGGTTGCCTCTTTGTTCTGAGGTTCTAGTTTGGAATCCCCACTCCAGATTTCCTGTGTGGAGTATCAGTGATGAACAGTAATCCCCATCCTTTGTCACTACCCAATTTTGGTACTTTCTTTTACTAAAAGAATTTAAATCCCGTTGCCCAAGGCATTGGAGCTGTTGGTGGAGAAGGTCATCAGCAGTGCGACTGGCCCGCTTAGCCCGGGAGAAGCCTTGCGCAGGGTTCTGGAGTGCATGGCCACAGGAATCCTGCTCCCAGGTACATTGTTCCCCCACTGTGCTACGGTTCATCGTTAGCACCCCTACGTATCCTTTTTTTTTAATTTTTTCTTATTATTTTTTTTTACACTTGTCATTGGTCTTTTAGGGATATTTGATGCCGCTTTTTTCCGACCAATGCCAGTAACAAGTACTTAACTCTTGACTTCTCACAAATACCAAGTAACTGATGCCTTTAGTACTATGAAGTTGGAAAATAGGGCTTGGGTGATACAGCTGAAAAATGTATCACAATGTAAGATTTTCATACCAAATGGTGTTGGTAAATATTTTTTTTCACCTATTCAAAATTGGCCAAAATATCAAATGAACTAACGATAAAATACAACCATCCAGAGTAAAATACTTTTGAAAAAAAAAAAATAGAGGTACATAGCAGTCGAAAAAGGAAGTGGGAACCTCATTTCTTTGTTGTGGGTTTTCTTTTCTTTTTTATTTTTTGCAGAGGTTATATGTCAGCCTTTCCACCTATTACCATTAGGCCTAGAACATATCCTAAACGAGGGTTCAGCGTACAACTAATCTTTCGGTGTGTTGATGAGCTTTGGTTCTCCAAAGCTGACACCTGAGTGTTTCATGATGATTCCTCCCCTTTTTCTCAGATGGGGCAGGGTTGTTGGACCCCTGCGAGAAACAGCCGACAGATGCTTTGGAGAGCATGAAGCTTCAAGACAGGGAGGATGTAACTGCCAGTGCGCAGGTAAAGTATGAAACTTTCCCCCCTGGTATGCTTATCAACCACAAGCAAACCTGGTGACCGTTTTAATTTTGCTCCAGCATGCACTACGGCTGCTTGCCTTCCGTCAAATCCACCGGGTCCTTGCCATGGACTCCATGTCCGTGACCAAAGCCGGCGCTTGCAACCGCAAACGGAGACGGGACATCAACGAAGCGAGTGAAGGCGAGGGGGAAGGCGAAGTGAAAAAGGAAAAGAAGGTCGTGAGTGCTTGATGTCCAGAAGGGCAGTTTGCTAGCTTAGGATCTGATTGAATGTCACCATTTAAAAAAACAGAACTGAATCCAATCGAAAAGGGTGACTTCTTGAAAAAAACTGTGAAAGAAGTGTGACTCCTTTTCCCCTTATGATCATTACTTATTTATGTATAGAGATGTTACAAGTGTGTAAACAGTAAAACCATATAGAGTGGCTGATTGCATCATTATATTTAATTTAGTTTTAACTGCACACGAACTACATCAATGATTAGTCACAATAGTCAAAAAACAGCTGTCAACTCCTTTAAAAAGATCTCACTTGACAAAGATTGGAGAAAACATGAAGACAGAAATTAAATATTTAAAGGGTTCATACTCAGGCTGTTAAATATGGGGCTGTATATATTTGCCGGGTTCCAAAAATATGGCAATTTCTTCCTGTAAACTTATTGTTCTGTAAAATAACAGAAGGTCAAGTAGGGACCCCTTAAAAAAAGCCAAAATACAATCTCAATAATCAGTGGACGTCCAGCTGAAGAGTGAAACTGCCTTTGAGTACTCCTATTGAAAACAAAGCACTGAAGAATGATCATTACTGTGTATTGTCTGTAAACAGCAATAGTTCTAAATTAGCAGAAGAGATGACTGAATAGCTTATGTCATGCCCTCGTGGTTATGAGCTTTTGTGCCTGCATGGTGCAGGCTGCAGTACGCTGAAGACGGGAGGAGAAAACATGACATCTTCCGACGTAGGTGGCTTGGGGTGATTGTGCAAGTTTTGTTTTAAAGGTCTGTTTGAGAGATTTTTGTTTCAGTTGCAACTGTTTTTAGTTCAACGTTGTCACTATCTCTTCTGTTGAAATGGAAAATGTTACCGTTGTCCCTTTTTTTTTTTTTTTTTAAGGTTTGAACATAATTTTAGCCAAGCTGTTCCCTAAATTAAGTTTGTGTTGTTCATGGATTTACCCCATTGTAAATTAAAAAAAAAAGTGGAACAGAATCTCCATGTGACTAATTGTGTCATATGTCAGAAGACACACATTTAAGCAAATATTGAGGAAGTGCTGTGACAGAGACACCGGAATGCATCTTTGGCCAGCATCTCCTCTCCTCACTGGTGATGGACAATATCACCACAGAATGAGATGAAGTGCTGCAAAACATTTAATTCCTGAACAAACTGTCTGTCCGCATCAGGTAAGAAAACATTTTCGACATAAAAGAGCCTAAAATAGCTCTCCGCCTCTTTGTAGTAATTAATTTTCTTTTTTTGGCAGGTGTTCAACAGAAATTCCAAACCTTATGACCTACTCATGGCAAAGGTAGGTGTCTCTATTTTTTTTTTAATGCTTTGGACAAAATATCCAATTAAACAGTATCACAGCTAATGCTCAAAATGGTATAACTGTTTTTGAAAAGAATATTTTTGACACCAGATTACAGTGTTGCCTACTGAATTGCACATGTAGACCACCTAACTGTTTGTACAAAGAGTTTTTTTTTCTTTTCTCTGCACTGAGTACATTAGGTCGACCTGCAAAATGTAATGCATTACAATAACTGTATCAAAATTCTTTCATTACACCTATTAAAATGCTTGTCCTTGTGGTTGTAGTTTAGCAATGTTGTAGAAGTGCATCATGAGAGCGGTTTCAAATATTTGTGGCCTTATTTACATCCGAGGGGCAAGATATGAGAGACCCTTTGACTCTGTGTCAGAAGTACCTAATAGTGCAACCATCCTGTGTGTAATGAAAAATAGTCTCTTGTCCTTATTTTTGTATAACAGTGGAGCCATGTGACTTTTTTAGCATTTGTCAAGGAAATGTTCAAATTTGTGACGTATAGAATCTGATCCATGTCAAGATTTTTGTAAACATTCATGTACTTGTGGTCATATCGCATGCAAACCTGATCCAAACGTACGTCACTCACAACACTTCAAAAAACAAATTGAGGGTCAACCCTTCCACTTGATAATCTGCAGATGAGTTGGACGACTGGTACACAATGTGTTGCCAAGGGAGACCACAGGAAGCCCAAACCTGGAGAGCTGTTGTACCACAAAGGAGACATACTCACTATTGTCGCCATGACCACGGTAAAAAGCACGTCTTTGAACATCTTTTCAAACAGCTACCTCAGGAATCTAGTAATTAGCCTTATGTGGGACTTTAATGCCGATTGCAATTTGCCAGACACAAATTTCTGACAGCGTAAATGCCACCGATCATCTATAAAGCTTTCCAGTCAAACCGAGAAATATGTGGCTACCGCCTGATATTTGCTTCTAGAGTAAGAGATGCTACAAAGCCAAACATAACTCCACCGGAGACGAGGGGATCATAAATAGCGCCGATGTGCGGGAAAGAGAAGCTCTGCGTTTGGATCCAAGCCTCAGCCTCATGCCGTACGTAAACCCTTCCTCTGAATGTGCTTTCCCAGGAATCGTGACTCCCGCCGTGGTCTCACATCAGCAGGATGCATCTGAGTGACGCTGATATAGTGACACACTTATACGGGGGAACTCGTAATGAGCGCACAAACGCCCTCGTGGGAATCATGATCATAACTTCCTCTTTTGTAAAATGCTAAATGTTGATGTCACAAGTCCAGCCAGTCCTTGGATTAGATAAAGAGGTCGAATTAAAATGTAGGGGCTTTTTCCAGCAATTAAGAACCATAGGCAGGGGGGCGGACTCGAGTCACTTGACTTGAGTCAGACTTATATCAACTTGAAGTACTGTATATGTTGTGACGAGCAAAATTGTATCACTTGCTTAACTCCAGTGACTTTACTTGTTTGACCGTTAGCGAGGACTCCACTCAATTATGAATATTTCCAAATACCTGTAAGTGTTTGCACAAAACCTTCAGCCTTGTAACTACCATGCTGTCTGCCTGTCCTCCAGCAGATGGTTTCACGGGAAGATCTCGGGCCCAGAGGCGGTCCGCAAGCTGCAACCGGCCCAGGACGGCCTGTTCCTGGTGCGGGAGTCAATCCGACACCCTGGCGATTATGTGCTGTGTGTCAGTGTCTCTGGGGAAGTCATCCACTACCGAGTGATGTATCAGGACAACCAACTGACCATTGACAACAATCAGCACTTTAACAACCTCATTGACATGATCGAGGTAGATGATGAGAGATGGTAGATGTATTTTCATCTCTTGATGCTTCCGCTTTTTTAAAATTTTCAAATCTCCAAAAGGCAATTATATTTTTACGCTGCTCTATTAATTAATTTCTTGTATTTTTAAGTTAAAGAACAGAATTATTGAAAATTCAACAATAAAAGCAATATCTGAAAATACTGTCAGCAAACGTTTACACAAGATGACAAAACGATTATCTAAATCTAAGCCGCTGCCACGTCACTGCACTATACTGTAATTCAAATCAGAAAAGATAAAACTGTGAGTCTGTTTCTTGTTTTTATTAGTACAGGTTTGCATTTCCCCAAATTTTAGGGCCATACTGCCACAGTACTGAAGAGTGTAGTGGCAATGTGACTTATTTATAACCCCTAAATGAGGAACACAAAACAGTGGGGCCATAAGAGGAATAATACAATGTGATCTTCATGTGTTGCACATGAACATCACCCTTTTATAGCGTTTGTTTCCCTCTTTGCAGTTCTACTCACAAAACAAGGGTGCCCTTGCTCGAACTCTACTGAAGCCCAAACCAAAACAAGGGGCCAAGTCGGCTGAGATGGAGCTGACAAAAGGTCGTGATAATTACTCGGAAAAATATTTTCCATGCACTCACTGATCTTACAAGTGTCTCACCCTTGTAGCTGGATGGCTGCTGGACATTACCGTACTGAAACTGGGACACATCATCGGAGAGGGGGAGTTTGGTGGTGAGCTTTTTGTACATTTTCTTTAGATCCACGATACACCGCGATATTTTTCACTTTTTCAACCTTGTTGGTCGTTCCAATGAGTACTAACCCAACAAGTTCCTAATTAATAAAGAGTTTGCAGAGTACGCTGAATGTACGACTGTGTCCTCCAGCTGTGTTCGACGGCGAATATTTGGCCCAGAGGGTGGCAGTAAAGACCATTAAGTGCGATGTCACAGCCCAGGCCTTCCTGCAGGAGGCCACAGTGATGACGTAAGTCTGGAGACGTCCGTTTATATTTCCATCAAACCTTTTATCGCTCAATTTGATCATATCACTACGACACTGCAGAGGGCATCCTTAACCACGGAGAAGTTTTCCCGCCGATTGTCTTAACTTGGTGTGTTTGATTGGCTCCTTCCAAGGAAGCTACAACATAAAAACTTGGTGCGCTTGCTGGGGGTCATCTTGCACAAAGGCCTTCTCATTGTCACGGAGCTCATGACGAAGGTGCGTCACAAAACAGCATGTACAACAGTGCCACTCATAAAACATTAATTTTTTTTACGTGATGGGAGTCTTGTACATTGTTTTATTGACGGGCTTGTACAAATCAGACCACACACAGTACAGCTTTGAGTTGGACATTGTGTGAGTGAAGAAACAATTGATCTATGAATTCCTAATGAGATCGAGAAAGGGGTTGAGCATTCTAGATGCAATCAATACTCGTCATAATGCTCAGTGAAAAATATTAGAATTATATATAGGGCGGAAATGATAATTGTCTGATGATTGGATTTGAATTTTTGTTGCAGGGAAATCTCGCAAACTTCCTCAGGACGAGAGGACGATCACTCGTTGGCTCTGTGCAGCTTCTTCGCTTTGCACTGTAAGTTATGTCAAAGTTTGTGTGTGTGCGTGCATGTGCGTGTGTGTGTGTAAACAGGTGGCTTTTAAAAGTCTTTCCATGCTACTCAGCGCATGTTGCATGTCTACAGCGACGTGTGTGAGGGAATGGCGTACCTGGAATCTAAGAAGCTGGTCCACAGGGACCTGGCGGCCCGCAACGTCCTGCTCTCTGACGACGACGTGGCCAAGGTCAGCGACTTCGGGCTGACGAGGGCGGCCTCCAGGGTATCAGATGACCAGCGTGCCAAACTGCCTGTCCGCTGGAGTGCCCCTGAAGCTCTGACGAAAGAGGTTGCTGACTATATGCAGAGTCCTACTAGTAAAAAGATTCTAGACATGAGCTGTATAAAAGCTGTGCGACGTCATTCTGAGAGGTGTATAATTTGACCCTTATCGGTATGTTACAAGGGCAACCAAAACATGGTGTAGACATAGTTTTGTAGAAATTTTTACGAAATGAGGAGTCCATAATGACATATTTATTCATCTCTTATTTAATAGACACACCATTCATTGCATGAAGGATGGTTGACCGTTAACCAATGAGGAAAAAGAACCTATCGAATTTACGTATCTCACTCCGATCTGTACTAATGCTTGTTTTAAATCGATTCATATTAATACTCTTTGGTATGTCAATACCTCACTGAGAATGTCAATTACAATTGAGTATTAGCGCCTTTATGAAGGCAGAATTATTTGTACATTTCTTATATTGAATCTCAAACTCGGATATATATATTTTTTTATGCAATATTTTAATGCATTTCCATTTTTCCCTATATTTTCCACATTATGCAGAAATACTCCACAAAGTCAGATGTTTGGAGTTATGGCATTCTGCTCTGGGAAATCTTCTCCTATGGTCGACAACCATATCCAAAGATGGTAGGAAGCCTCATCGTAATAAATGCAGTCTGTCACTTTTTGTCTAGAGCCACATGTATTCGTTAAACAGATCATGACTGACATTATTTCTCAACAGTATACTTTACGGTATTTCATTGCTTCCTTCCTTCCATCCATCCATCCATTTTCTGATCCGCTTTATCCTCACAAGGATCACGGGGGGTGCTGGAGCCTATCGCAGCCGTCTTCGGGCAGTAGGCAGGGGACACCCTGAACCGGTTGCCAGCCAATTGCAGGGCACATAGAAACAAACAACCATCCGCGCTCACACTCACACCGAGGGACAATTTAGAGTGTTCAATCAGCCTGCCATGCATGTTTTTGGAATTTTAGAGGAAGAGAAAACACGCAATTCCGCACAGAAGGCTTGAGCTAAGATTTGAAGCTGTAAAGCGGTATATCCAGCACAAACCTGGAAAAATACTGACTTATGTAATGTAAGGAATGGAAGAGCCGTGGCAAAGGTCCCGGTGTGACATCAACATCACATCATTAATAGGATTCTGTAGGATTGTTCATTTCTTTTATTGCATTGACAACACAAATACTGTTCTGTGTATTTATCCAAGTGCCTGAAGAATCATTCCTCTGCTTGTGTGTCATGGTTACCGCAGTCCTTGAAGGAGGTGATGGAGCGAGTGGAAGGCGGCTTTCGCATGGAGGCACCAGAAGACTGTCTCCCCGCTATTTACGCCCTCATGACCATTTGCTGGGCCAAGGAACCTCGGAGAAGGCCCACTTTCCACAAAATGAGGGAAAAACTTGAACAAGAGATGAAAAAACGATGTCCGGGTTATGAGTCGCAACATCAAGATGGAGTCGGGCGTGGATCCGGATATGGAGGTGGCTACCCCACTCACATTGTTTAAATTCGGTTGGACATTTTTTTTTTTTCTTGAGGGGAGGTTCTTGTCCACTTAAGACTTCTTTCTCAACATTATGGACGACAAAACTTTCATTCGGGCTTAAAGTACACTAACTGGTCCGTCCTTTAGATGCACCTCTACAAATATATTGGACATCGTGGTGCGCTTTGGATCATGATCTGTTCCTTTTTAGATGTTTTCTGATCAACTGTACTCAACCTGTCTTGTAGTTGGGTGTTACTAGTGGCTTACACCTTGTTGTAAACACTGCCACAATCACCAAGGCATCCTGATTTAAGTTTTGGATTTCTTCTATGGTCTTCTAGGTTCTTTCTTTTTAAGAACATAATTAGGTTACTGGTGAGTGGGAGACACCTCAGTTTTTTTTTTTTTTTTTGCAAATCACTTTATTGAATGTTAGACTTGATGCAGACTTGAAAGGTATGTTATTTATGTCTTTTTTAATCTCTTGAAATCATCCAGCGAAGCAGATCCTCTCTGCTGCACCCTTTAGCCCCCTCCACAGGTTTTCAATGGAGTTGAGGTCTGGGGACTGAAAAGGCCATGGGAAGAGCTTGATTCTGCCTGGTGAATAATTTCTACAAATTTCAGTTTGACAGTATACTTTCGCAATAAAAATAGAATTTATTAGAAGGCTTTTAACACATCTTAAGCAGCGGTGCCAATAATTACGGAGGGCACTGTATCGCTGTCTTTCTATCTCTTGCTATTTTTTTGTATCTATCTTACTGTCTGCTTTTGATCTTAATAGATTTGTATCATTCAATTTGATCTATCTCATCAATTTTAGCTGTGAGTGTTATCAGTAGTTCTTTGTACAGTATGTATCGTTCTCTTGGCCCTCATTCCGTCTGGCCATCGATTCATCCATCATTCTGTTATTTTAGCAGTTGGCCATTTTAGATCGTATGTATAGTGTTTTTTTTTTCTTTCCCTATTTCAAAGATGTTGACAAAATAGGTCCAGTTATATAAATAATTAAGGTATATAACTGTTATCAGGAATAAAAATACAAATTATGTGTAAATTACCCGAACTCAGTCTGTGTTTTGATTAGTTATCAGTCTTGATTACCTACACGCTATCTTTCTATCGATCATTGTGTCCATGGGACTGAGTTTAAAGGCATGCAATAAAAAAAAAAAAAAAAAATTGTTGCTGGCCCACAAGCCACTTCACATGAGGACTCGGCAGAAAATGAAGTCCTTTATTGCTGGATTGTTGTCACATTGGATGAGCGCATTGAGGAGATTTAAGTCAGCGTAAGCTCGGTATTTGTCTCTGTCCCGTGAGACGCGAACCCAAATTGAGGCTTCATCCTCCTCACCCAATGAACCAGCGTACTGTAGCATTGCTTCAATCTGCTCCGTGTTTTTTTTTTTTCTCAAGACCTATAATGGGATGACCTGCAATTTTCTACACAAGGATTTACTGCAAACCAAATGTAAAAAAATGACGATGATAATAATAATAGAAGATTGGATGGGGTTGCGTGAAGGATTTACTTTTCCTTGCTGTGTACTCGGGGTGGGTTTTTGTGTCACAGGACATACTGGTGTTTTTATCCCAACGGCCATATGTTAATGGTACATCTAATTCCTTCCAAGGTGGGCTTTCTGTTTGACTCCAGCATACAACAAGCTGCCTAATGACAATTAAGTGACACAGAGCAAGGGAACCTTTTCACTAGTACTTAATATCCCTCACAATCTCTCTCTATACGTTATCTTGATCACTATGTACTGCAATTGTCAATCGCATTTTAAATAACACGCTTTTATCACTTTTTAAGTAAATAAATGATTCATTATTTATCGGCACATATAGTTTACGCCCTTTCAAATCCACATCAGTACTTCTTTTAATCATTTAACCTCGATGGACTCGGATAGAGGTGGCTTTTAATTTTCATGGAGTAATTTAGATCATTAAAGTGGAGCAGTTGCATAGATTACCTGTCAACTAACACAATCCCGCTAACTGTATGTTTTAGTTTTAGTGCCTGTAATTAGGTCGTGCTCAGACTTGAGACGTATGCCGCTGAATTGATCGGGAACTGGCTCAAATTCTATTCAAAACTTTGCAATTCATGTATCACAATCGGGAGATCACTGGTGGGGAAAGTTTATTCAAGTTGTCTGGATGGCTTTTGGGAGCACACCCCAAAAATAAAATGAGAACGCCTGATTCAAATTTTTGCAGCAATTCTATGCCGTTCTTTTGTTTGGTTAGTAGTTACTGCATGTCTCAGTCCATGTTAAGAACACCAGTGAATCACATGACCACCATCACCTTCGCTGCCTCACTCTTCCCTCCTCTTCCTTGATCCACCATCCCCCCCACAGCCTGTCTGTGCACCACTCGGGGTAAGCTGACACTGCGCATTTACACGTTAGCTGCTTTTACCTTTAATAGGATCAGGGCGACTTACGTTGTCATTTGATAAAACCAAGCATCTTGAAAACTACACTGCTGCCCCCTTAACCAATTTATGCACAGGATAACAGGCAAACAGTAGTAGGGCAAAGAGTTGCAAGAGCAAAATTGGAACGAGATAATCGCCACAATCTTGTTGTGACTGAGAGATTGTCGATTAACTTGCAAACACTGTGGTTCTTTCATTCTTTTCCTTGCTGGTGAATGGAAACAAACTATTTTAGCTAGCATCTGGTAGAGCCTGGTTGATTTATCGGCCAATATTATTTTTTTTAAAAATCGGCCAAAATCGTATTTTTGCTAACAACATACATTGCAACATAACAGATTCAAACATTCCTCCCCCACCCCCAAATAACTGCCGATTTTTGCCCAATTTACTCTGTTGTAAAGTATTATAAAAAAGGCAAATGTTCTGCCAGTAATTCATATCTGTATTGTTGTAAGCGTTAAGTGACCAAGGCCGACGTTACCTCATTCATTACATATGGTTTTAATTAACCGACCAATTAATCAGTCATAGAAAATGTATTCTGCCAAACTGTTGGCATCAGCCTCAAACAAGCCATATCGGTCCTGCCCTAGAAATTGGCATCAATGTTGCTGTTTTATAACCGGAGAGTGCAGCAACACTTGTAGACAGACAATGGAACAATACTCAGACATAATTCTTTAACCACTCCGAAAAAAAATATTGCACCTTACCTTAGTTTTGAAATGCTTCGTGTATTATGTCTGTATTATATTACCCCGTGCTGGCCATGGCCCACATACCAGATGGACAATTTAAAAGCATGAAATAATGATGCACCAGCTCCACAAAACAATCCATTCTAACTTTTAAGCAATGGATGAAACAAAAATAGTGCAGCAACACATGGAGACTGAGAATTTTAAAAAATTATATGGATTTTTTTTTCTAAGTTTAGTGTGAACTAGTTCCTAAAGTGTCGAAAGAAAGACCTACACTACGCTTTGGGTGGTAATATGCTCAGTATGACAGTGGCATGGTAACAGAAGTTCAGAATATTTACAGCAAAGTTCTCTGATTCCCAGCCCCCGCCCCCAAAAATAAAAAAAATTATAAGAATTACCATGGTAGCATTGCTTCAATCTGCTCCGTGTTTTTTTTTTTTCTCAAGACCTATAATGGGATGACCTGCAATTTTCTACACAAGGATTTACTGCAAACCAAATGTAAAAAAATGACGATGATAATAATAATAGAAGATTGGATGGGGTTGCGTGAAGGATTTACTTTTCCTTGCTGTGTACTCGGGGTGGGTTTTTGTGTCACAGGACATACTGGTGTTTTTATCCCAACGGCCATATGTTAATGGTACATCTAATTCCTTCCAAGGTGGGCTTTCTGTTTGACTCCAGCATACAACAAGCTGCCTAATGACAATTAAGTGACACAGAGCAAGGGAACCTTTTCACTAGTACTTAATATCCCTCACAATCTCTCTCTATACGTTATCTTGATCACTATGTACTGCAATTGTCAATCGCATTTTAAATAACACGCTTTTATCACTTTTTAAGTAAATAAATGATTCATTATTTATCGGCACATATAGTTTACGCCCTTTCAAATCCACATCAGTACTTCTTTTAATCATTTAACCTCGATGGACTCGGATAGAGGTGGCTTTTAATTTTCATGGAGTAATTTAGATCATTAAAGTGGAGCAGTTGCATAGATTACCTGTCAACTAACACAATCCCGCTAACTGTATGTTTTAGTTTTAGTGCCTGTAATTAGGTCGTGCTCAGACTTGAGACGTATGCCGCTGAATTGATCGGGAACTGGCTCAAATTCTATTCAAAACTTTGCAATTCATGTATCACAATCGGGAGATCACTGGTGGGGAAAGTTTATTCAAGTTGTCTGGATGGCTTTTGGGAGCACACCCCAAAAATAAAATGAGAACGCCTGATTCAAATTTTTGCAGCAATTCTATGCCGTTCTTTTGTTTGGTTAGTAGTTACTGCATGTCTCAGTCCATGTTAAGAACACCAGTGAATCACATGACCACCATCACCTTCGCTGCCTCACTCTTCCCTCCTCTTCCTTGATCCACCATCCCCCCCACAGCCTGTCTGTGCACCACTCGGGGTAAGCTGACACTGCGCATTTACACGTTAGCTGCTTTTACCTTTAATAGGATCAGGGCGACTTACGTTGTCATTTGATAAAACCAAGCATCTTGAAAACTACACTGCTGCCCCCTTAACCAATTTATGCACAGGATAACAGGCAAACAGTAGTAGGGCAAAGAGTTGCAAGAGCAAAATTGGAACGAGATAATCGCCACAATCTTGTTGTGACTGAGAGATTGTCGATTAACTTGCAAACACTGTGGTTCTTTCATTCTTTTCCTTGCTGGTGAATGGAAACAAACTATTTTAGCTAGCATCTGGTAGAGCCTGGTTGATTTATCGGCCAATATTATTTTTTTTAAAAATCGGCCAAAATCGTATTTTTGCTAACAACATACATTGCAACATAACAGATTCAAACATTCCTCCCCCACCCCCAAATAACTGCCGATTTTTGCCCAATTTACTCTGTTGTAAAGTATTATAAAAAAGGCAAATGTTCTGCCAGTAATTCATATCTGTATTGTTGTAAGCGTTAAGTGACCAAGGCCGACGTTACCTCATTCATTACATATGGTTTTAATTAACCGACCAATTAATCAGTCATAGAAAATGTATTCTGCCAAACTGTTGGCATCAGCCTCAAACAAGCCATATCGGTCCTGCCCTAGAAATTGGCATCAATGTTGCTGTTTTATAACCGGAGAGTGCAGCAACACTTGTAGACAGACAATGGAACAATACTCAGACATAATTCTTTAACCACTCCGAAAAAAAATATTGCACCTTACCTTAGTTTTGAAATGCTTCGTGT